AGGTTTTAGATCATCTGATGTGTATTGGATTCAAAATATTGGGACTCATAGACCTGAATTAGAACTAAAAATAAACGGGAAAAAATTTATTGGATTGCTAGACACAGGTGCAGATGTCTCGGTTCTTCGAGCCGATCAGTGGCCTTCGATGTGGCCAAAAACAGCGTCTCTTACTCAGTTACAAGGAATAGGTCAAACTTGTAGTACTAAACAAAACAGTGATCTGCTTTCTTGGATTGATAATGAAGGACATACAGGATTGTTCCAGCCCTATGTTATTTCAGGGTTACCTGTGAATTTGTGGGGCCGCGATGTCATGAAAGATATGGGAGTTTATTTATATAGCCCCAATACTCAAGTTACTCACCAAATGTTCAATCAAGGGTTCCTACCCAATCAGGGCCTGGGACGTCATGGTCAAGGGAGATGCGAACCCTTACAATATATAGATAATCAAGGAAATAGAGGATTTGGATATTTTTAACATGGGCTATTGGTCCCCCTGTACCCCATGCTGACCCGATCCTTTGGAAAAGCGATGAGCCGATGTGGGTAGATCAATGGCCCCTTACCTGGGACAAAATATTGGCTGCCGAGCAGTTGGTACAGGAACAGCTCGACAAGGGACATATTGTTCCTTCTAACTCTCCTTGGAATTCACCTATTTTTGTTATTAAGAAAAAGTCCAGAAAATGGAGACTTTTACAAGATCTTAGGCAAGTTGATGCCACTATGGAAGTCATGGGGGCTCTTCAGCCAGGTATACCCCGACCTTCCGCCATACCCAAGAGAACCTTTAAAATAGTTGTTGATCTTCAAGATTGCTTTTTTACTATCCCCCTTGAGGCTCCAGATTGTAAACGTTTTGCATTCAGTGTTCCCTCAATAAACTTTCAAAAACCAGTAAAAAGATATCATTGGGTAGTTCTTCCACAGGGTATGGCTAATAGCCCTACTTTATGTCAAAAATATGTTGCTCTCGCTATAGAACAGGTTAGAGCAGAGTATCCTCAAGTGTATGTCATTCAATATATGGATGATGTTCTTTTGGCAGATGAGAAGGAGGGACGTTTGTTGGCTGCCTTTTCAGATTTACAAAAAGCCTTACAAGCCCGTGGGCTCGTAATATTCCCCTCAAAAGTTCAGAGACATTCTCCCTTCTCCTACTTAGGGTATACCCTATTTAGAGATAGTATTCAAACCCAAAAATTACATATAAAAAAAGATGGTCTTAAAACTTTAAATGATTTTCAAAAATTATTAGGAGACATTAATTGGCTCCGGCCCTCTTTGAGGTTAACTACCGGAGAATTAAAGCCCCTTTTTGAGATTCTAAAAGGAGATCCACATCCCAATTCACCTCGTGAATTAACCTTGGCTGCCCGGGAGGCTATCAAGTTAGTTGAAAAAGCCATCGAAAAACAACAAATATCCTATATGGATTATACCCAGCCATGGACTTTGGGCATCCTTTTCACTAAATATACACCCACTGCAGTTCTTTGGCAACAAGGGCTGCTTTTGTGGATTCATCTGTCAGTTTCTCCATCCAAGGTTATAGTTCCATATTATGAAGCTGTGGCCCAATTAATAAGTCTGGGCCATTTTAAAGCCCGGAGTTATTTTGGACAAAACCCCCCTGCTATCATTATTCCTTATAATAATAAACAGATTGATTGGTTATTCCAAAATGTAGGTGATTGGGGTATAGCCCTTGCAGGATATCCAGGCAAAATTGATAATCATTTTCCATGTCATCGCCTGTTGCATTTCGCCTCAATACATGCTTTTGTTTTTCCCCAAGTGGTGTCTAAACAACCTCTTGAGGCCGCCTCCCTGGTATTTACTGATGGATCTGTCTCAGGAGTAGCCGTTTATGTTTTAAATGATAAAGTTCATCAATTTTTTGTTAAGTCCTCCTCTGCTCAGGTGGTAAAATTATCAGCAGTAGCTAAAGTGTTGGAAGTCTTGTCAGAACAGCCATTTAATTTGTGTACCGATAGTTGTTATGTCGCTAGAGCTATCCCACTATTAGAGACTGCTGAGTTGCTTCAAACATCACAGGCTGAGATCTTATGTTTATTCCAAAAAATAAGAGATCTTATTAGGCAAAGGGCCACACCCTTTTTCATTAAACATATCAGAGCTCATTCTGGCCTTCCTGGCCCCCTTGTTGAAGGTAACGAGTTGGCTGATCGCTCAACGCGTTTAATGATGCTCACCCAAATTGAAAAGGCCTCACGTTCCCATCAACTTCATCATCAAAATAGCCGCAGCTTGCGCGCACAGTTTCATATAACCCGCGAAACAGCGCGCCAGATTGTTAAACAATGTTCTGCTTGCCCATTGCATCACTCTGTCCCACAGTATGGGGTAAATCCCCGGGGAATAAAACCTAATCAGTTGTGGCAAATGGATGTTACTCATATACCTGAATTTAAAAGACAAAAATATGTACATGTCAGCATCGATACATTTTCGGGATATATTATGGCTACAGCCCAGGTGGCTGAGGCCTCTAAACATGTCATGTCTCATTGTTTAAAATGTTTCGCTTCCGTTGGGCTACCTTCCATGATTAAAACTGATAATGGCTCGGGCTATATCAATAAAGCCTTTAGAAAATTTTGTAATCAATTAAATATTGTACATAGAACGGGGATTGCATACAATCCGCAAGGACAAGGGATTATGGAAAGGGCCCATGGTGCTCTTAAAAATCAATTGACTAAAATAAGAAAGGGGGAGTTATATCCCCTATCCCCACAAAATTATCTAAACCATGCATTATTTGTCTTAAATTTTTTGATTGTGGATGCTCAAGGGTTGACTGCAGCGGAAAGATTATGGCATCCAGAGACCAAATCATCATACGCATTGGTAAAATGGAAAGATCCCCTCACGGGTGTATGGAATGGTCCCGATCCGGTACTAATATGGGGACGAGGGCATGTTTGTGTTTTTCCACAGGATGCTGAAGGTGCCCGGCGGCTGCCTGAAAGATTGGTCCGTTTCACTGGAAGTTCTTCTGCCCATAGAGATGATTCTGACAACTGTCCTGCTGGTGAATCTAATGATGGTGTGTAATGGAAAACTTTATTGGACTTACGTACCTGATCCACCTGTTGTACATCCAATGAGCTGGGAGAATGGAGAAGTAATGGTATGGGTGAATAATACCAGGCTGTTGGATGAGCCAGTGGCCCCTGACAAGAACAAGGTCCGATCATTTAACTATACAGGATCAGGAACCGGAACCCCCATATGTTTCTCCAAAATCAACAAGACCGGGTGTATAAGACTGAGTGCTCGCACCTTGGTAGGAAGGCAGGTAGATCAATGCAAAAGCGGGATCATTGGAGTCCATTTACATCTACCTGTGGGTATGGAGACCACTGGTGTAGTGCCTCAGACTTTTCCACCTTGTGGGAGGAAAAAATGCTCTAATAAGACTATTCCATGGAAGAGATGTATGGTGGATGCTCCTGTGAGATATAATATTACTGGATTTGATACTTATGTCTTGGACTGGTGTGCATCGCGAGATTATGTCTCTGCCCAGATGTATAATTCCCCCTTTCCTAGTCCCCCACCGTTAAGCGAAACAGCACTCTCTGCAGGGTTATGGTGGAGTGACAAAGGATATGCTCAAACATATATTTGGAAATTGGCTGCAGCTTTGGATGAGGTTAAAGCCCAACCCGAGAATTCTTATCATCCCAAAGGAAATGTCACTGCTTGTGTCATGCGCCCTTATGTATTGCTTGTGGGAAATGTTAATATTCAAAATGGTAATGGTTATTATAATGTTACTTGTTCTGATTGTCAAATAAGTAATTGTGTTACCCGGACAGAAAATCAGGTAATGGTTTTGCAACAGCCAGCATTTGTTATGATGCCTGTTAATGTTACGGGGGCATGGTATGCAGATCAAGGATTGCAGGTGTTGAAAGAAATTAATAAGGCTCTAAGTAGGCAAAAAAGAGTAGTAGGGTTAATTATTGCTGGAGTAGTTGCACTCATATCTCTTATAGCCACTACTGTTACTGCCGCTGTTGCCCTTTCGCAGTCTGTACAGAATGCGCATTATGTTAATGAGCTGTCAAAAAATGTTACTATGGCCTTAAAGACACAGGAGGATATAGATCTTAAGATGGAGCAAAAAATAGATGCCCTATATTCAATTGTCACATATTTAGGAAACGAAATACAAGGGCTCAAAATTAGAAACAAACTGAAATGTCATGCCGATTATCAATGGATTTGTGTTACTAGTAAGATGTATAATGATACCGGCTATGAGTGGGATAAGATTAGAAAACATTTGCAAGGAATTTGGCACAGTGCGAATGTGTCATTGGATTTAATACGGCTTCATAAAAAAATTATGGATCTCCAAAATGCAGAGCCTTTAAAATTTGATGCAGCCCAGGCTGCACAGGATTTTATTGAACAAATTAGAAAAATTTTGCCATCTGCATCTTCATTTACACAGTTACTCATTTTTGTAGCAATTATTGGAGGAGGGTTGCTTTTTGGATGCATAATCCTTCCTGTGCTATTGTGGGTGTTTATGCATTCCTCAGTGAAGTTGGCTGGAAGTATCCATGGTCTACAATTACATGTTGCGCCGCCTAGGCCCACAGTGTAATCCTCTGCAGAGGCTGGTAGTCAATGATGGGTAAAGGGAGTACGGGAAATCACCAACCTAAGACAGAGCAAGAGTATAATGATGCTCTTGACTCCATGACGGGTAAGGAATTTCTTTATATTCCTCGCCTAAGATAGGCACAGTCTATCTGCGTGATCAAGGGACCTTGATCATATTATATAAAACGGGGGGAGATGTGGGGAGCGGTGTCAGCCAAAAAGCTTCATTTTAATTTTACCCTTTGTTATAAATGGCCAGGAGACTATGTAATGGGGAACCGTGTCTCTCCACTAACTCCAATGTTTCCCTTTAGAGTTTGCCCTAGCAACAAGGTGAACCTTCTGTAACCCCAGGAAACAAAGTAGCCCATGAGAGCGAGGAGTGTCTAGAAAACTAGCAACAAATGAAGCAGGTGTTTTAGATAAAGGTCATGGTTAATGACCTAACTCACTGAGTGTATAAAAGAGAGGTGAAAATAAACTTGCTTGCTCAGTCTTGGGAGCCCTCCCGACTCTGTCTCTTTGTCTTATTTTCTCAGTCCTCCTTTTCCCCATTCAGGAACCTTTTGACTGGTGATGGCTGGTCCGTCACACCCTACAAAAAATTGGAATAGATGGTCTCTATCTCAACCTGGTAAAAGCCATCTATGTAAAAACCAACAGCCAATATCATACTAAATGGTCAAAAACAGAAATCCTTCATGCAAAAGTCAGGAACTAGACAAGAATGTCCACAATCACCACTCTTGTCCAATATATTTTTGGAAACATTATACACAGCTATTATACAGGAGAAATAAATAAAACAAATAAAGATAGGAAATGAAGAAGTTA